GCAGTTTTTGTCAAATTGTGTTTTTGTTGCAAAAGCTTTGATCTGTTGTTTATTAAACACAAAATTACTATTACTAAAGAATTCAATAAAATTAAATTGTTTATATCCCTACACAGGAAGGTGATATTTATAAATCTTAAGAACCATATCACTATTAGGGTAGTTAGAATGAGTATACATAGACAGAGGGTACAAACTGACTGACTGGATGATATTAAAAGAAATGAAACAAAATTAAACAGTGGCAAAGAAGATTGCATTGGGAGAAGAAGGAAGGAGGAGGTGGAATGGGGTAAATTTTCTTACATGAGGAGGTAGAAAAGACATTTACAGTAGAGGGAAAGATGGGGGAGTGGACATCTCTTAAACCTTACTCTTATTGGAATTGGCTCAAAGAGAGAATAATATACAATAATATTCTATGCCAGATGGGCATAGAAATCTGTCTTACCCCCAGGGAAGTAGGAATGATGACTGACTGATAGAAGGGGAGGGTAGATTGAGAGAGGTGGTGGTCAGAAGGAAAACATTGCTGGGAGGGACAGAGTGAAAGGAAAGAGAGAAGGACAAATAGGGGAAAATAAGATGAAGGGAAAAACACAGTAGTCATAACTGTGAATGTGAACAGGATAAACTCACTCATGAAGTGGAAGTAGATGGCAGAATGGATTAAAAACCAGAATCCAACAGTATGTTGTCTACAACAAACACATTTGAAGCTGAGACACACACAAAGTAAAGGCAAAAAGCTTGAGCAGAATCTGTTATGCTTCAGCTGCAGTAAAAAAAAAAAGAGAGAGAGAGAGAAAAGAAAAAGAAAAAAGCAGGGGTAGCAATTTTTTATCTCAAAGTAAAAGCAAAAATATATCTAATAAAAAGAGATAAGGAAGGAAACTACATCTTGCTAAAAGGTACAATGAAGTAATTTCAGTACTAAATATATATGTACCAAATGGTATAGCATCCAAATTTTTAAAGGAAAAGTTAAATGAGTTACAGGAGGAAATAAATAGTAAAATGATATTTCATAAATCTGAAGACTCCAACTTCTGCCATAAGAACTCCCTGTTAACAAAAACTGCTCGGAAAAATGGAAAAGAGTATGGTATCTTGCACAATATACCAAGATAAAGTCAAAATGGGTACATGATTTAAATAGAAAGACTGATACTATAAGTAACCTAGGGGAGTAAGGAATAGTTTATCAGGTCCATGAAGGAGAAAATAATTGGGCAAGAAGAAGTTCATGATGTTAAAAGATACTAAGAAATACTAAAACAAAACCAACAGAATGAAAAAATAAAAAAGAATGTGAAACATTTAATTAAAAGAACAAATGCTATAAGAATTATATAATATAATTAAATAAGAATTGTAGGACTACCTGAAAACTATGATCATTAAAAGAGTCTAGATACCATATTTCAAGAAATTATTAAGGAAACTTGCCCTAAAGTTCTAAAAATAGAAATAGAAAAAAATCCACCACGTACCCACTAAAAGAGATCTCTAGATACAAACTTACAGGATTATCATAGCCAGGTTTCAAATCTCCTACATTCAGGAGAAAATACTAGAACCAAGAAGAAAAAAGCAATTTAAACACTATGGAGCTGCAATCATGATAACAAGATGAAGCAGCATCTACATTTGAAGACCACAGGGCATATGACATTGTGTTTTAGACAGCAAGGGAGCTGGGCTATGCCTAAAAATAACTTGCTCAGCAAGTTTGAATGTAAACCACAAAAAAGACCAGAAAAAAAGACAAAAGGCCAGAACTGAATGGAAAATTGGACATAGAAGATCCAGGCGAAAAATGAAGTAAACATCAAGGTCCAGTTATAAGACTCAAGTAGGTCAAAGTCTTACTTTCTATATGTGAAAATGTTATCTGTACTCTTACAAATGTCATCATTACTTGGGTAGTGTGAAAGTAAAGCTTGGGCTAGTTGGGTATGATGGGTTGATTCTAAAAAATAAAATTGGGCAGGAAGAGGTAAAATGGAGCAGTTGCTACATACAAACAATTCCTGAAAGAAAGAACTGAGACAAAGGAAGCAGGCGGGAGTGGAAGACTGGTTGTGCTGAAGCCATATTCTCATAGACTGAACAGAAGAGGAAACAGAATATCTAAATCATCCTTCTTTAGAAAAAGAAATTGAACTGGCCATGAATGAGGGTTTTTTTCCCCTTTTTTGGTGAGGCAGTGGGGATAAGTGACTAGTCCAGGTTCCCACAGCTACTAGGTGTTATATGTCTGAAACCAAATTTGAACTCAGGTCCTTCTGAATCCAAGGCCTGTACTCTATCCACTGTGCCACCCAGCTACCCCTGATGAATGAGTTTCTTAAGGAACTAATTCCAATGTTAAATAAAGAAATTATTTACAGTAATAGGTAAAGAAGGGATACTACCAAACTCCTTTCATGAAAAAAACATGGTGTTGATACTTAAACCTGGAAGAGTGAAAAGAGGAAGAAAATTGTAGACCAATTTCATTAACGGATATGTACACAAAAATTGCAAATAACATACTACCTAGGAGATTTCCCTAATATATTACTAACATAAGAAAATTATTCACATAATTGATTATACCAATAAGAGAAGTAACAAAAATCATATGATTACATCAAGAAGTGAAGAAAAAAACTTATGATAAAATACAACACTCATTTCTGTATAAAAAAAAACTTTAAATGTATAAATGGATTTTTCCTTAAATTGATTTTTCAAATTTGCCTAAAACCATCAGCAAGCATGATTTGTAATGTGGGTAAGGTCGAAGTCTTCCCATCAAGATCCAGTGTTCAACAAAAATGCCCATTGTCACCAATACTATTCAATATTGTATTGGAAACCCTCACATAGCAGTAAGAGAAGCAATCAGAATAGAGAATGAAGTAATAAAACTTAACTTTTTTTGCTGGTGATATATGATGCTGTACTTGGAAAATCCCAAAGACTCAACTAAAAAGTTCACTGAAGCAGTTAATAATTTTAAAGAAATCATTTATATAAATTGAATCCACATAAATCAACAGCATTCCTATAGATTACCAACAGAGACCTGGAAGAAGTGGTAGTAAGAGATGCCTGATTAAAACTAACTCTAGACAGGATGAAACTCCTGGGAGTACAGCTGTCAAAACAAACCCTGGAAGTACATGAATATAAAATTAAAAAAAAAAACTTTACAGCAATAAAATCAAATTCAAATAGAGAAATACTCATTGTTCATGGGTAGGCAAAGTCAATATAATAAAAATGATAATTTTGTCTACACTAATATATAAATATATAGGTTCAATGGCATCCCATTCAAATTACCAGAAAATTATTTTACTGAGTTGGAAAAATAGAAAAACAAATTTCATTTGATAGAACAAAATGTTAAGAATATCAAAGTTACAAATGGAAAAAAAATGTAAAGGATGAAGGTTTAGCAGTACCAGATCTTAAACTCTATTATAAGTCAGTAATTATCAAAAATATCTGGTACTAGCTAAGAAATGGGATGGTAGGTCAATGGAACAGAGTAGACATACAATCTAGAGTAGCAAATAAGTATAGTAACCTTGGATTAGAGAATTGTAAAGGCTCAAGTTTTGGGGATCAGAATTCATTGTTTGGTAAAAATTGTTGGGAAAACTGGAGATAAGTATGGCAGAAATTGGGCATAAACCAATATCTTACACCATTTAACAAAATAAAATCAAAATCGATACATGGTCTATTTATAGAGATTTTATAAGAAAAATTTGAAAGGACGTGGAATATAATACTTCTCAGGAATAAACTAGACTAAGAGAGCAGAATGGCATGTGAAATGGATAATTCTGATCACATTAAATTTAAAAGGAAATTTGGCAAAAAAAATTATAGATAGTTTCTCAGATGAAGTTCTCATATCTGAAATATACAAAGATCTTTGTAAAATCTATAAAAATACAATTCATTTTCCAATTAATAAATGGTCAAAGGATATGAATGGGCAATTTTCAGATGATGAAAGTAAAGCTATTTATAGGCATATAAAAAAATACTCCAAGTTAGTATTGATTAGGGAAATGTAAATTAAAAGAACTCTCAGATTGGCTATAATGACAAAAAAAGGAAAATGATAAATGTGGAAAAATTAGAACAGTAATGCATTGTTGGTAGAGTTGTGAACTGATCCAACCATTCTAGAGAGCAATTTGTGTCTATGACCAAAGGGTTTTACACACTGTGAATACCCTTTGATCCAGCAACACCACTACTATGTCTATATCCCAAAGATATCATACAAAAGGGGCAAGGACTTACATATACAAAAATATTTATAGCAGCTCTCTTTGTAGTGGCACAGAATGAGAATTTGACATGACACCCATCAATGGTTGAATGGTTGAAGAAATTTATTATATGAATGTAATGGAATAATCTGGTGCTATAAGAAGTGATGAGTAGGCAGATTTCAGAAAAAGCTAGAAAGACTTAGGTGAACCGGTGCTAACTGAAGTGAGCAGAACTAGGAGAACATTGTACACAGTGACAACAACATTGTGCAATGATCAGCTGTAAAAGACAATTCCAAAAGACTCATGATGGACAGTGCTAACCACATGGAGAGAAAGAGCTATGGAGCAAATAGAAGTGTGCTATTTTCCTTTTTTTTTTTGTATTTTCTGATTCTTCTTTCACCTCATGACTAATGTGGAATTATGTTTAGCATGAAGGCATGTGTATAACCTATATCTGATTGCATACTATGTTGGGGAAGGGGGAAGGAAGTAGAAAAATGTGGAACTCAAAATATTACCAGAATGAATGTTGAAAACTATCTTTACATGTAATTGGAAAAAAATATTAAGTAAAAAGATAAAAAAAAAGAGGGTACATCCATGAAGTTTTATTGCATTAATTTTGGTGATGAGGATGCAGACATCTTCAGCAACCATTGCTGTTGTATATGTTTACATGTCTACATTTGTTTGATTCTCTGTTTTCTTCAGATATAGAGACCAAGTTCAAAGTAAATGAGATGCCTAGGAAGCTGGGAATTTTTGTGGAAGAACGTGACCTGCAAAGATTCATGAGTGATCATCCCTGGGACTTTAAGCTGAGGGAAATCCATGACTCTAATATTAAGGGAGATAAAAATCCGAAGAGTGACTGTGAATTTAATGAAATTGGAAAGAGATTCAGACAGTCTTCAATCCTAAAGCACTGTAACAAAATGACTTTAGGGAATGAATGTGTTCAGGATGGTGTACATAGCAAGTGCTTTACTGAAGAGGTAGAGCTTTTTCAGTCCCGAGGGAAGCCTCATGAAATGCCAGTGTCTCCAGATAGTGAATGGGAAATGGCCTTGAGCTGGATTTCAGATCTCATTCATATCTCACATCATAAAAGTGATACTGGAGAAATGCTTTCTGTAAGTAATAAAGGTGGGAAGGCCTTGAGTCAGAACTCTAAGTTCATCACTCATCAGCAAATTCCCATTCAAAAGGAGCCTGGGGAATATAACAAAGGTGAAAGAACCTCATGCCATCATTCATCCTTTCCTTACCAACCTATATTTCACCTTGGAATGAAAAGATATGCATGTTCTCAGGGTAAGAAGGCCTTTGGTTGGAGCTCAGATGTTGATAAATCTCAGAAGATTCATACTAAGGAGAAGTTTTATAAATGTGATGAATGTGGGAAGGCTTTCTCCTACAGATCACTCCTTATTGGCCATCAGAGATTCCACAATGGAGAGAAACCTTTTGAATGTAATCAATGTGGAAAAGCTTTCAGGCACAGATTCAGTTTTGCTACACATCAGAGAATCCACACTGGAGAGAAGCCTTATAAATGTATCCACTGTGGAAAAGCTTTCACACATAGCTCCCATCTCACTACACATCAGAGAATCCATACTGGAGAGAAACCTTTTGAGTGTAATCAGTGTGGAAAGGCTTTCAGGCACAGATCCAGTCTTGCTGTACATCAGAGAATCCACACTGGAGAGAAACCTTTTGAGTGTAATCAATGTGGAAAGACTTTCACCCAGACATCCACTCTTGTTAAACATCAGAGTATCCACACTGGAGAGAAGTCTTGTAGATGCAATCAGTGTGGAAAGGCTTTCACCCACAGGTCTACTCTTGCTAAACATCAGAGTATCCACACTGGAGAGAATTCTTATAGATGTAATCATTGTGGAAAGGCTTTCACCCAGAGGGCCACTCTTGCTAAACATCAGAGTGTCCACACTGGAGAGAAGCCTTATAAATGTAATCAGTGTGGAAAGGCTTTCACCCACAGGTCCACTCTTGCTAAACATCAGAGTATCCACACTGGAGAGAAACCTTTTGAATGTAATCAGTGTGGGAAGACTTTCACCCACAAGTCTGGTCTTGCTACACATCAGAGTGTCCACACTGGAGAGAAGTCTTATGTATGTAATCAGTGTGGAAAGGCTTTCAGAGGGAGGTCCACTCTTGTTGCACATCAGAGAATCCACACGGGAGAGAAGCCTTATAGATGTAATCAATGTGGAAAGACTTTCACACATAGCTCCTATCTCACAAGACATCAGAGAATCCACACTGGAGAGAAACCTTTTGAATGTAATCAATGTGGAAAGACTTTCACCGACACGTCTGGTCTTGCTAAACATCAGAGTATCCACACTGGAGAGAAGTCTTACGTATGTAATCAGTGTGGAAAGGCTTTCAGAGGGAGGTCCACTCTTGTTGCACATCAGAGAATTCACACTGGAGAGAAGCCTTATAGATGTAATCAATGTGGAAAGACTTTCAAATTTAGGCAGAGTCTTGCTGCCCATCAGAGAATCCACACTGGAGAGAAACCTTTTGAATGTAATCAATGTGGAAAGGCTTTCACTCAAAGCTGCCATCTTGCTAATCACCGGAGAAGCCACACTGGAGAGAAGACTTAAAGATGTAATCAGTGTGGAAAGGCTTTCAAATATAGCTCCAAGCTTGGTAAACATCAGAGAATGCACACTAGAGATACACCTCAGTGGTGTGATGAATATGGCAGAGCCCTTAGTTACCACTTGTCTTGAGAGAAACTTTGAATATCATCAAGGTGGTAATGCCTTCAGGCAACAATCATCTCTCATTTCCCATCTCAGAATTCATATGAGACAGAAATCTGGTGATTGTCATGAGTAAGGAAAGGCATTCACATGGAGTTCAGAACTTCTTGAGTATCAGAGGAACCAATCTGAGGACTACTTCCCTGTAGACTCAAATGTGCTCAGGGGGGCTGTGTTTTCCATTGGAGGAGAGTGATCAGTAGACAATTTTATCCTTACTGGAATGAAGGTTGATTCATGCAAAATGTGAAAAGGGCTTCACCTAGAGTGTCTGCTTGAATACACTTTGGGAAAATCATGCTGGAGATAAGTCAGGGATTTAATTAACAGAAGAAGGCCTCCTGCTGCCACACAGAATTTCATTGGACCTCCTAAGAGAAGAGACCTCATTAAACATCCCAAATTCCACCCTGTGCATTAAGAACTATAAATACACCGATTTTTGTGGGAAATCCTAATTTTTTTCATCCCTCCTCAGTATACGATGGTATTTATAGAGTATCATTTCTTCAGCCATTCCTCCATTAATTGGCGCTCACTTTGTTTCCTGTACTTTACAGGCACAAAGTTCTTTGTATAAACATTGTGGGTACTGTTGGATGTTAATTTCTTTAATGATTTTTTGAAGCAGCTTATTTGGTAAAAATCATCAGGAAAACTGGAAAGAAATATGTCAGAAATTGGACAGAGACCAGTATCTCACATCATTAACAAAATAAGGTCAAAATGGATATATGATGTAGTACGCAGAGAGATTTTATAAGAAAATTTGAAGGACATGGAACATATTACCTAGCAGACATGAATAGAGTACAATTTCTGAAGAAACTAGAGACGGAGAGCAGTTACAAGTAGGATGGATAATTTTGGTGGCATTAAATTAAAAAAGGTTTTGTACAAATAAAACAAATGTAGCCAAGATCCAGAAAGAAAAAGCAAATTGGGTAAAAAAATTTATATACAGTTTCTCAGTCTCATAACTCAAATATACAAAGATCTTTGTAAAATCTATAAGAATGCAAGTCATTCCCCAATTGATAAATGGTGAAAGGATATGAACAGGCAGTTTTCAAATGATGAAATAAAGCTATCTATAGGTATATGAAAAAATGCTCTAAATCGGTATTGATTAGGGAAAAGCAAATTAAAACAACTATCAGGTACCACTGACACCTGTCAGATTGGCTATTAGAAAAGGAAAATGATAGATGTTGGAGAAAATGTGGGAAAAGTGGAACACCAATGCATTGTTGGTAGAGTTCTGCACTGATCTAAACATACTGCAACTTGGAATGCAGTGCAAAGGGCCACACACTGAATACCCCTTGATCTGATAATACCACTGGTATGTCTATATCCCAAAAATGTTATTTAAAAAAAAAAGGAAGAGGAGCTACATGTGCAAAAATATTTATAGCACCTTTTTTTTGTAGTGATAAAAATGGAAAATTGAGGGCATGCCCATCAATTGGCAAAGGGCTGAACAAGTTGTGGTACATGAATACAGTGAAATGCCATTATGTTATAAGGAACCATGAGCAGGCAGATTTCAGAAAAACCTAGAAAACTTACATGAACTGATGCCGAATGAAGTTAGTAAAACTAAGAGAACATTGTACACAGTAACAATAACATTGTGGGAGGATCACCTGTGTGAGACAATTCCAAAACAATCATGATGGCAATGCTAACCACATCCAGAGAAAGAGCTATGGAGTTTGAATGCAAATCAAAGTATATGATTTTCACCTCTTTTGTTTTTTGTTTTTTCTTTCCCATGGTTTTTCCCTTTTGTTCTGATTCTTCTTTCACAACATGATTAATGTGGAAATATGATTAAGATGACTGTACATGTATAACTTATATCAGATTGCTTGCTATGTTGGGGAAGGAGGAGGAAATGGAGAGAAGGTGAACAATTTGGAACTCAAAATCTTACAAAAATGAATGTTGAGAGGTGGAACAGTGAATAGAGCCCTGGCCCTGGAGTCAAGATGACCTGAGTTCAAATCTGTATGCAGACACATAACACTCACTAGCTGTGTGACCCTGGGCCACTCACTTAACCCCATTGCCTAGCCCTGCCCCCCAAAAAACAAAATTAATGATGTAAATTCTTTACATCTAATCAGAAAAAAATAAAATATTAAGTAAAAAAGATAAAAAAGGGTACATCCATGAATTTTTATTGCCTTTAGGTTGGTGATGAGGTCATGAGCTGCAGAAGTGTTAAGTAACCATTCTATTGCATATATTTATGGGTGTATATGTTCTTGTGTAAATATGTTTGATTGTCTGTTTTCTTCAGATGTAGAGACTAGGTTCAAAGTAATTGAAATAATTAGAAAGCTGGGAATTTTTTGTGGAAAAAGGTGACCTGCAAAGGTTTATGAGTGGTGTGCCCGGGACTTCAAGTTGAGAGAAATCCATGATTCTATCAAAGTAGATAAAAATGCAAAGAGTGACTGTGAATATGATAAAATTAGAAAGTCATTCAGACAGCCTTCCATCTTCAATCAGTGTAAGAAAATGACATCAGGGAATGAGTGTTTTGAGGATAGTGAATATAGCGAGTGCTTTACTGAAGAGGTAGAGTTTTTCAGTACCATAAAGCCTTCTGAAATGCCAGTGTATTCAGGTAATCAATGGGAAATGGCCTTCAGCTTGAGTTCAGATCTTATTAGACATCAGAAAAGTGATAACTGGAGAAATGCTTCCTATAAGAAATAAAGGTGGGCAGGCCTTGAGTCAGAAACTCTAATCTTATTATTCATCAGCAAATTCCCATTAGAAAAGAGCTTGTTGAATATAATGAAGGTGAAACTACCTTGTGCCATCACTCATCCCTTCCATACCAGTAGACCCCTCTTCAAATCATTTTCAATCCCAACACATGACAGAGGCCTAAAACCTGGATTGGCCAATCAGGAGAGACATTTCAGCCCTCTCTGTTCTTAATCTACTGTAATGTTTATCATGACCTGGCAGAATGGACCTGCATTGCTTTGCTGTCTGAGTGAACCCAGAATGCCCCTTCCTGTGTCAACAACTACAAGGCCAGATGAAGCTGACCTGGTACATTCTTCTGTTTATTGGCCACTAAGGATAAGGCTCCTCAACCTAGACACTATATTGAATAATGGAAGTTTTCTTGTGTTGGTATTTTATGGATATTTACTATGCTATATCATGTTAATGGTGGAAGAAATACAGATATCCTGTATCTATAATTTCAATTGACACTTTAATAGTCAGAGTTAAGGAACTATGAAGTTAGAATGAAGCATATTATTTACTATTTTTTTCTTCTTCTAGTTTCATTTCCTCTTTCTGGTGGTTCCTTGTATTGGTTCTAACTCTTGCTTACAACATCACTAGTGTGAAAATATGTTTGATAGGAATGTATACGTATAGCCTGTTTCAGACTGAGCTCCATCTTGGTAAGGGAGGTGGTGAGCAAGGAGGAGAAAAATTTCAAACTCAAAATCTTATGGAAGTGATTGTTGATAATTCAATTTAAATCAATTTTTAAGAAGATAATGTCTTGAAAAAAAAGTAAATGAGAAGACTAGAAACTTGGGAATTGTTATGGAAACATGTGACCTGCAAAGATTCATGAGTGATGGGTCCTGGGACTTCAGTTTAAGAGAAATCCTTGACTCTAATAAGAAGGTAGATAAAAATCCAAAGAGTGCCTGTGAAATAGTGGGGGGGGGGTTGCTTTTGCATATTTTTTTAGGTGAGGCAATCAGGGTTAAATGACTTGCCCAGGGTCACCCAGCTAGTAAGTGTGAAGTGTCTGAGGGTGGATTTGAACTCAGATCCTCCTGACTCCAAAGCCAGAGCTCTATCCACTGTGCCACCTACCTTCCCCCTTCCTAAGACATCTTCACAAGACTTTAGAAAGGACCTGATCTCTGTGGGTGGAGGTCTGGCCCAATCGAAGTGCAATGGCATCAAGTCAGACTCTGATGAATCAAGAAATGGCAAGCTGTGTGGGAGCAGCTGGGTTGGCCAATGGCCTCTGCCTGAAGAGCTTTTATCTGGGGGACAGTTTGTGAGGGTCTGACAGATAAGGGGGAAAACTGAAAGACCTTTTGCTGTGGCTGGATGTTAGTGGAAGTTAGCATGACAGAAATTAGGCATAGACCAACACCTCACACTCCATACTAAATAATGTCAAAATGGGTACATGATATATACATAAAGACACTGTTAAGTAAATTAGGAAAGCAAGGAATAGTTTCCCTGTCAGATCTCTGGAGCAGGGAAGAATTTATGACCAAACAAGAGATAGAGAACATTTTGAAATGCAAAATGGATATTTTTGATTATATTAATCTGAAGGTTTTTACGCAAGTAAAACCAATGCAAGAGTAGAAGGAAAGCAGAAAGTTGGAAAACAATTTTTACTGAGTTTCTGATAAAGACCTCATTTCAAAAATATATCAAGAACTGTGTCAAATGTATAAAAACACAAGTCATTCTGCAATTGATAAATGGTCAAAAGATATAAACAGGCAATTTTCAGATAAAGAAATTAAAGCTATCTATTCATATGAAAAAAGGCTCTAAATCACTATTGATTAGAGAAATGTAAATTAAAACAGCTCTGAGGTATCACTCACACCTGTCAGATTGACTGTTATGACAGAAGTCACATGACAAATGGTGGAGAAGATGTGGGAAAATTGGAACACTAATGCATTGTTGGCAGAGTTGTGAACTGATCTAAGTATTCTGGAGAACAATTTCAAGCTATGCCCCAAGGGCTATCACGCTGTGCATACCCTTTAACCCAGCAATACCACTTCTAGGTCTGTATCCCAAAGAGATTATAAAAATGGGGAAAAGATACAGATGTACAAAAATTTTCATAGTAGCTCTTTTGGTGGTGGCCAGGAATTGGAAACTGAGAAGAGACCTATCAACTGTGGAATGGCTGAACATTTTGTGGTATATGCATGTAATGTAATACTATTGTGCTATAAGAAATGATGAGCAGGTAGACTTCAGAAAAACCTGGAAAGACCTGTATGGTCGGATGCTGAGTGAAATGAGCAGAACCAAAAGAACGTTGTACATAATAACAGCCATGTTGTGCAATGACTAATATTGATAAACTTAACCCTTCTCAGCAATACAAGGATCTAAGACATCTCCAGAGGCCTCGTGATGGAAAATGCTCTCCACATCCAAAGAAAGAACTGTGGAAGTTCAATCGCTATCAATGTTTTTCCTCTTCTGTTGAGTTTTGTTTCCTCTTTCTGAAGGTTCCTCCTATTGGTTTTAATTTTTACTTACAACTTCCCTAATGTGAAAATATGTTTAATAGGAATGTAAATGTATAGCCTATATCAGATTGCATGCCGTCTTGGTGAGGAAGGGGGAGAAAAATTTTAAATTCAAAAGCATATGGAAGTGATTGTTGGTAAATCAAAATAAATTAATAAAATAAAAATTTTTTAAAACTCCGTAATGATCTCTTGACCTCCAGACTCTAAGATGTTTTCAGTTGTTCTAACTTTCATTATAACCTTAGCCTGGTTAGAGATTGGACTACAGGAAGAAGGATGTTGAGCAAAACCTGCCTCTTTTTGATCTGGGGGGAAAAGGTTCCCCCTTTTTTCCTTTGTCTGTGTCTCCACATTCAGAATTTGGCCAGAGGTCCAATGTAGAGAGAGAGAATTTTTTTTAATCAACAGCTTTTTCTTTCCAAACGACTTACTCTCAAACCCTCTTTTCACATTGTTTGTGCAAATAGCTTATGCCTCTTCTTTCTACCCATGCTCTCATTTTTACACGCTAAAATTTTTTCCTTTTCCTTCTATCTACACATCCCTCTGGTAGACTTTGATTAAAGCCCGTTTAAAACTGCACATATCTTATTTCTTTCTAATTCTGATCTGCCACTTTTCTTACCCTCTATTTGCCTTTATCAATCATATAACCTAAATAATAAAGTATTTTTCTTTCTCTTTTTCTGTCTTGCCCTCCTACTCCTCCGAGGCTGCAGCTGTCAGGGAGGGAGAGAAGGGGTAAGAAAGAAAAACAGGTATTCCAAAGAAAAGTCTAGC